TAGCAGTCAATGCTCCTTGATGTGTGGTTGGTATACTTCAACTCTGGGAATTATCACAAATATTTGGTGAGACAAATCTTTACTACTGCTCTCTCTATGAGGTAACCAAAACATTTGGTCACATAAATTGCCCACACAGCTAGTAAGCAGACTGACTGTAAACCTACCTTTAGCTGAGCCCAAGGTTCATCTTTAAGTTGGGACTCAGCAGACTTTTTCATCAGACTTTGTTGAAATCTGGTATTTCTTGCAACTACTCAAGTCTGCTTTGGAGCTTTGAAACTTGAAACACAAACAAATGAGTGTGGCTGTGTGCCAGTAAAACTTTATTTACCCCTGATGTCTTCTTAAAATTAAGCAGAACTTTCACATATATACTAAAGACTATCTGTCATGAGCATTATGATATTTTAAGATCTACTGCTATAGGATGCAGAGTCCTGGTAGTGTAGTGAGTTATGTGTTTGAGTGCTAACCACAAGCTCATCAGCTCGAATCCACCAACCACTCGATGGGAGAAAGATGAGACTTTCTACTCCCCTAAAGATTTACTCATTGTAAATCCTATACAGTGTTGCTAAGAGTTGGCACCAACTTAATAGTATACCAACACCACCACCACCAAATAGGATATGCTGGGTAATGAATAAGGAAGACTGAACAAGAACTGATGCATTTAAATTAAGGTGTTGGTCAAGAGTACTGAATATTCACCCCATGGACTGCCTGAAAAATGAAAAAATCTGCCTTGGAAAAAGGATAGCCAGAATGCTTTGTCTCACATACTCTTGACATAGCATCAAGAGGGACCAGTCCCTGGAGAAAAATATTATGCTTATAAAAGTAGTGTCAGAGAAAAGAGGAGGACCCTCAAAAAGATGAACTGACACAGGGGCTGAGACAATGTGAGACTAGCAGAGGATCAGGCAGTGAGATGAAGCATTCTGTCTAGCTGGCATATGGCCTAGCAGATCCTCTAAGAACTCACTATTTGAATTGGACATTTTTTTTTTTTTTTTTTTTAAGGCATCCTAATTAGATTTGGAAGGGTCTCTGGTAGCATAGTGGTTACAAATTGGGCTGTGAACTGCAAGCTCAGCAGTTCGTAACTACCAGCTGTTCCACAGGAGAAATATGAGGATTTCTGCTCCCGTAGAGATTTACAGCCTCAGAAACGCTGTACAGGGTCGCTATGAGTCGAAAACGACTCCACAGCACTTAATAACAACAACAAATTAGATTTGGAGTCCTGGTGTGGCACTGTGGGTAAATGCGAAGGACTGCAAAGTGGGTTTGAAATGCAAGTTCGGTGGTTCAAGTTCACCAGCAGCTCCAACTCAATAGCACTTAACAACAACAAGACGACGACGAAAAGGAGTTCTGTTGTAGCACTGAGGGTTAATGTGCCAAACTGTAAGGTCAGTATGAGCCGCCAAGTTGGCAGTTCAAGCTCTCCAGCTGCTCCTGGTGGTTATGTGTCGTGCAGTTGGTTCTGACTCATAGCGAGACCCTGTACAGGGTTCTACGGCTGTAAATCTTTATGCAAGCAGAAAGTTTCAGCTTTCTCCCACGGAACAGCTGGTAATTTCAAACTGCTGACCCTGAGGTTAGCGGTTTGACTTGTAACCATTACACTACCAGAGCTCCTCCTAGGAAACCCTATACAGAGTCGTCATGAGTCAGAACCGACTCGACGGCACTCATGAGACTAACAGGAGTGCATTGGTTCCATAGGATAAGCACTGGTCTGGGAACCACAGGGTCTATGGTTTGAACCTGCCAGCCACTCCATGGGAGAAAGATGAGGCTTTCTGCTGCTATAGGGAATTGTTTTTAAAGCCATGGAAACCTATACATGGTCACTATAAGTCCTAACTGATTCGACAACAGTCACAACAAGACTAATACAAGTGTATTCTGGAGAGACTTGTCAACGTGCTGAAGTTTTGTTTGGATAAATTAAAATGTACGCATAAATTAAAATCCTAATGGCAATACTTTTTCACTTATTGTCATATAATGTCAGAGAATGATAAATGCTATCAGGATCGGACAGTGTTTCGTTCTGCTGTGCATAAGGTCACTATTAGTTGGTACCAACTCGATGGCACCTAACAACAACAACAATCAAGATTGACATAAATGGAACAAGATCATATGATAAATGATATCACTCTTAATATTTGGTCCATAGCAAAGCTTGATAATCGGAGCTCAATTCTTTATTAGTAGAAGTGGCCACACAGAAATATTAACATAATACAAAAGATTTCTACAAATCCATATATACGCTCCAGCATAGGTAAAACTGCGGTCCAACTTTTCTGTTCTTTGTGCTCTCTAACTTCTATTCTAGTTACCTTAACTGACCCCCTGCAAATAACACAGCCTGATGGTATCTAAGGGAAGGTTTCTTCCTGGCAGGCAGTCTTAAATTAGAGCCCAGTTGGTTACTTGAGCCAGAGCCAACTATGTGTAAATCTGTTAAAACAGTAGCTACAATTATGGCTCCTTTCAACACACGACAGATGGCGTCAGCACACTGTAACTCTGATCCTTTGATGAGAATCCATGCTCCGGAGCAGAGGGAGGCATGAACAGCAGACCTAGTCCAGCAAATGACTTTCAAGGATGTGAGGATGTGAGGGGGCTGGGTATCTGTCTTGGGAGCTCAACAGAAAGGAAGAGAAAGCAGATCACAAGCATATCCGCTTTTACTAAGAAGATATAATTTCAGACTTTGAAATTTCTAAAACACAGAAAGGAATTCACATGAATAGCCTAAACCAAATGGCCCAAACCGCTGCAAAAGCACATTATATGAGATGTACACTTGAATTATTCCATCAGAAAAAACACAGAAACATAGACAGCTGTCATCAATCAGCTCCACGTTGCAGTGACGTAATGTACAATAGAATACAACATTGCCTGGTCTTGCCACAGTCTCACAATGACCCCCATGTTTGAGTTCATCCTCAAGGCTATTGTGTTGATCCATTACACCATCTCCTTCACCCTCCCTTGACCCTCTACTTCTCCAAATATGATCAATTGCTACTTTTCATCATATGTCAAATTTTAAATGACTCCCTTCCTTCTTTTTAAATGAAAACTATATTTCAATGGACTAATATGCAACATCATGATAGATGATCTACAATCAATGCCTATGAAAATAAGTCAAGAAAACAAATGACATATTGCATTGGGAAAATCTGTTGCAAAAGACTTCCTTAAAGTGTTCAAAAGCAAAAATGTCACTTTGAGGACTAAGGTGTGGCTGACCCAAGTCATGGCACTAAAGTGCCTGATGTGCATGCTGTGAAAAAAGGAATCATAAGCTGGACAGTGAATAAAGAAGAGTGAAGAACTGATGACTTTGAATAAGGTGTTGGTGAAGAATATTGCCTGTACCATGAACTACCAGAAGAATAAACAAATCTGACTTGGAAGAATGCTCCTTAGAAGCAAGAAAGGGGAGGCTTCATTTCATGAACACTGGACATGTTATCTGGGGGGATCAGTCCCTAGAGACGGACTTCATGCTTGGTAAAGTGGAGTGTCAGTGAAAAAGAGGAAGACGCCCAAGAATCAAGATTGACACAACAATGGGTCCAAACATAACAGTGATGGTGAAGATGGTCTTGGACCAGTGTTCCACTTTGTAGCTGAGTCAAAACTGACTCAGTGAAACAGAGCAACATAACAACAGATGGACCAAAACTTAACAATTATTCAAAAGCAAAGATGACAAGGGGGCAGGGGAATTGGGAGTACTGAACACCAAACAAACAGAACACAATTACAGAGAATGGTGACACACTGGGATAAATGTAGCTAACACCACCAAACAATTTGGGTGGAAACTGTCAAATGGGAAACTAATGTGCTAGGTAAATCTTCTCAGAAAATCTCAATAAAGTATTATGCAAATGGAAAAAATAGATTAATTTTTAAATGCTATCTTATGGGGAGATGGAACGGCTGGAGACTTTGGCCCTGGAGAGAGAGAGGGACAGTGTGCGGACTACAGGGGGAAGGCTTGCAGGGTATACCCTTTGGTTGATCAATGATGCATGGAAGGGATTATAACCATGGCAAGGAAGCGATATACAATGGGATCAATGTGAAGCTGATGTCCTCCCATGTAAACTGTCACATAATTCACAATGAAGCATTAAAAAAAATGATATCTTTATATAACATTTTATTTAATGCCATCTTGTTTATATGCTTCCCAATGGAACTTTCTATGATGGTGAAGGTATTTTAAAACTGTGCTGTCTAAGAAGGCAGCCACTAGCTAGTACTGAGCACTTGGAATGTAGCTGATAACTGAGAACATCAACTTTAACTTTACTTCATTTAAAGGAATTGAAATTGAAATAGCTCCCTGTGGCTAGTGGCCACTGCACTGGGAGGACAGCTTACCCACTGGGACAAAGTTATTGGCTCCAATATTGTGATTCCATAGTACTTCCTGCATTCCTTTATTTTAGAAGGTACTCACTGAGCAGAAATTATATTAATGCTAGCCTACACTAGGAAACTCTGATTGACTTAAGGAGAAAACAGTACCTTATACTCATTTTTACCATCTCAGCCTCTGGCAGAGGACTTAATACATGGTAGGTTCTCATCAGATTTGTGTGAAATGAACCAACAGAAAGAGGCTATAAAAGCAGTTGATAACCCAGGGGAGTTCTAAATGAAAAGCTAACATTTGTGGAAAACTATCCTTTTGCCTGCCATTTATTTTCCAGTTCTCACTCATAAAAGACATGTCTGCATATTGAAATCCTAGTTAAGTCATCTAAATAGCAGTTCTGCTAAAGCAGTTTTCAGCATGCATGATCAAATAAGCCAGATGGTACATTTGAGATTTAAAGCTACAATTCATCTGCTCACTCACCCTTACACAAAGGTTGTAATGCTGGAGAACAAATAGCTTCATTGTGCTCTAAACCTGGAGACAACACATAATGCTGGGCACTTACCATCACCAACCTCAAAGTCCTTGAAAGCCAGTTCTGAGCCAGAATCATCAAGAAGGATCTCCCCATTTAGAGTGAACATCACAGTGTGCTCGTTCATATCAACCATGCAGCCCACCACATCGCCTGCTTGCCACGAGCGCCCGTAATGCTCACTGCCCTGGTGCCACCGCTGGGCCTGGGAGGAAACAGAGCCATTTGTCATGAGTGAGTCAGAGAAATAACACCCAACCACGGCTCCCCAATATGCCTCAACAACAAACCATTCTGTTAACATGATAGTTGGATGAACTCCCTTCAGTTTAGCAATCTATGGCAGTATTCTAGTTAATGCGCTAGACTGCAAAGTCGGTTTGAACCTTAAGGTTAGAGGTTCAAGCTCACCAGCTGCTCCTCGGAAACTCTATACAGGGTCACTATGGGTAGGAACCAACTCATTGGCACTTCACAACAACAACAAAGTGATACGGAGTTGTTGGTAAATTTTAAATACCTAATACTAACAGGGTATGGACTCTTGGTGTGGCGCTGTAGGATCAGCACTGGACTGCGAACCACAAGAGGCAGTTCAAACCCACCAGCTGCTCCTTGGAAACCCTATACAGGGTTGCTATGAGTTAGAACCGATACAACAACAACTATTATTGTAGAGCGTCTATTGCTTTATTCAATTCTATTATGGTTGGATTTCTGTCTTTTGAGACTTCCACTGGGAGCACAGATATGTATTATGATTATGTCCTCTTGTTCAGTTGACCCTTTAATCATGAGATAATGTCCTTTTTTTCTAATGCTGGTTTATGCCTGAAAGTCTATTTTATAAATACTTCCTGGTCATTGTTTATCATCTTTTCCTTAGTATGTTTTTTCCATCCTTTTATTTTTTCATCTATTTTTATCTTTGTGTGAAAGCTGTGTCTCTGGTAGACAGCATACTAAAGAATCCTGGGTTTTAATTCATTCTGCTGCTCTCTGTCTCCTTGTTGACTGTTGCATTTAATCCATTGATATTCAGTGTATTGATCAATAGGTAAGAATTTATCGTAGTCATTTTGCTGTGTGTTTTCCTGTGCTGCTGGTTTCTTTGTTCTATATAACTTTGTTCTATATAACTTTCTGTGCAGAGTTTCATTTTGTTTGTACAAAGGAATTCACCCCTGTGGCCTAATTCTTAGCGAAGTAGTAAGTACATATAGGGGGACAACAGCACTAGTAAAGTGTGCTTACCATGGAGTAGTCAATCATTCACAATCAAAAGGGCAACCTTTATTTACCTAAGAACAAAGTTGAGAAGGGAGGGGAAGGCGGGTGGAATGGAACTAGAAGCCACAGGGAGGAAGTGGGATGGCTGCTGTTTCAAGGAGGGGATTGCAGTCCTTGAGATGAAACTAAGTGTGTGATTTGTTGAATGTAAAACTGATAATCTTGTCTATAAACCTTCACTCAATTAAAAAAACTGACTCCTACCAAGAAGAGTTTGTAGGGGAGCTCTTCTATGGATCCAGGAGCCCTATACTGAAATATCCATCAGACCAGGAGACACAGAAAGATGAAAAGTCTTCCCAGGAGCTCTGGTAGCATAGTGGTTATGAATTGGGCTGCTAATTTCAAGGTCAGCAGTTGGAAACTACCAGCTGTTTCATGGGAGAAAGAGGAGGCTTTCTGCTCCCATAAAGATTGACAGCCTTGGAAACGCTGTACAGGGTCGTTATGAACTGGAACCGACTCTATGGCACATAACCACCACCAGAAGGATTAGACTTAGGACCCAGTCTACTCTGGTAAGGTCTTGTTACCAAGCTTATCTTCTGTGCCACACCAGGACTCCAGTCTCATTGTGGTGGTGGTGGCGGTATGACGTGGAATCGGTTCCAACTCAGTGACCCTGTACAGGGTTTCCAAGGCTCATTGTGGTTATTGTGAAGGTGCCGTCAACTTGGTTTGGATTCATAGCAACCCTGTATAGGGTTTCTGAGGAGCAGCTGGTGGGTTGAACTGCCAACCCTGTGCTTCACGGCCTAGTGCTAATCCTACAGCACCACACCAGGAGTCCAGAATCTCATTAGGATGCATAAAAAAAATAAAAAAAAATACAATCAAAACAGTATCTTCCAAGGTAATCTGCTAAATCAGCAGAGCAGATAGCTCAGGTTAAGGTGACAATTTTCTGGGATTCCTAAGGGGTAATCTTGATAGATTTTATCACGAGGACTCATTTAGGAAGAAGTTTCAAGAAAAATGAAAACTGTGTTAGTGAGAAAAAGGCCAGTAAAGTTTCCCTGAAGATTTTCATTTTTTTCTGTTATGACAATGCACCTACTCATTTTTTAAAGGTAACAAGAAGGGCTCTCCTACAAGAATTTCACGGGGAAACCTTACCACATCCACACTACAGCCCTGATCTTGTCCCTTCAGATTTCTTTTTGTTTCCAAAACCCGAAGAACATTTTAAAGTAACATAATCTAAGTCCCTGGAGGATGTTAACACTTCTTTTTTGATATGGTATAAATTGAAGAGTGTAGAATTCTTCTGGGAAGGCTTGTTGTTGTTGTTGTTATGTGCCATGGAGTCAGTTTCGAATCATAGTGACCCTGTACAGGGTTTTCCAAGACTGTAAATCTTTACAGGAGCAGAAAGCCTCATCTTTCCTCTGTGGAACAGCTGGTAGTTTCGAACTGCTGACTCTGAGGGTAGCAGCCCGATTCGTAACCACTATGCTATGGAAACACCTACTTGCCACATAGGCTCCACTGCAGGTTTCAATGAGTATGGAAGCAGCAGCCCAGTCAGCCAAGGGTCCTGAGCTGAGGCGTGCCGGCCTTGTCGGGGCAGCCAACAGACCATCTCAGTCGCAACCAGAGTGCACCTGGACCAGAAGTTGTCCAGTTGGGCCCTGAGTGGCCTGAGCTCATACTCTATGGTTGATGATCAGGGTGAGGGGGACCAACTCTGATGTTTAGGTCATAACTGAGATAGGTGATTAAGTGACAAATAAAGTAAAGTTACCTGTTTACAAAGACAAGAGTACAAAGAAAAATCTTTTGGATTTGCCCTCACATATGATGGGGTTCATAAAGTTCATGTAAAATGGAATGAAAAGATAATGGAATTTTCCCATGAACTTTTTGAAACCTCCAAGTATGTATTTTAAAGTCTTGGTGTGGCTATCTGGTTTAATGCTCTGAACTGCAAACTCGGTTTGAGCAGCAAGGTCGGCAGTTCAAACTTACCTGTTCCACCTCAGGCACTCTATGCAGGCTTGCTACGGGTTGAACGGTTTCAACAGCACTTAACAACAAGAAGTTTATAGGCATAACATCAATCATAATCATATTAAATTATTTTATCAGGGAAATCTTTTAATTTTCCCTTTATGTTTCATCTTGTGATTTGATATATGATGGAATGCAGTCACCAATGCAAAGTAATTTGTGTATTACTTCTCAAGTATAACATATTCTCAAGTGTAACAATATACCTTTTTTTAAAAAAAATTAAATTCAGTATCAAAAGATGCCAAATTTTTCCATCTGTAATAAAAAATACGATTTTGGAAACATGTTATTTTAGAACAGTGAGTCCATTTCCTAAAAGATCTAATACTAATTCGTAGTCTAGACATGATGTACCATACAAGCCATCATATACACAAATAAAAAAATGTCAGATTTCTTCATGACTGCTTATTTATTCTAGTTTTCTTTTTTAAAAATAATAAAATATGCTTGTTTCCTCTTATGAAAATGAATTCAAATTCACTGAAGAAAATCATTAAGTAAAAAGAAGATGAAAAAGTAAACTATCAACCAAAAATGACTTCACTCTCTGCTCATTATCAACATGAATGACCAGGTTCTGAAGACAAGGTCATTATGTGAAAATGGAGGATGAACATATCGCATCCTAAAATGGAGGATGACTGATTCGTTGTATAACTGTCCTGTCTAATTCTCCAATGACATCATTACGTAACTGCCAAACCATCGACAATCGTGGCCCTGCTGAGTTGAATGAGAGCCTTAACAATCACAGATGCCATCATTCTTGCCCTGTGCCTCACAGTTTGTTACTGGAAAATGTCCATCATTAATGTGAAAAACAGTTGGATACTAGACTTTTCACTGTTGTTGTAAATGCAAAATGTCAGATAATGAGAGAGTTGGTAAGTGAGGAGAGGGTGTATAATGTGGATTATTTGTTGTTGTTGTCAGGTGCCATCGAGTCGGAACTGACTCATAGCGACCCCATGCACAGCAGAATGAAACAATGTCTGATCCTGGGCCAACCTCATTACCTCTGCCACACTCGATGCCATCAAGGATGCCACCTGGCCAATCCATCTCACTGGAGGTCTTCCTCTTTTTCTCTGACCCTCATATAATATAGAGAGATGTACATGTATATATTGAGTCATAGTGTGGTGCGGTGGGTGAATGCACTTGAATACAAGCTTGATTTGAACCTTAAGGTCAGAGGTTCAAACTCACTATCTGCTCCTCAGCGACACTATACAGAGTCGCTATGAGTTAGATTCAACTCAACAGCACTTACCAACAACAATGTATGTATATATACACATAAATGCATATGTATATATGTGCACATATACAGATATGCAAGCATGTATGCATATATACATTTGTTGTTGCTGTGTGCCACTGAGGTGGTTCTGACTCGTAGAAATCCTATACAGGGTTTCCAAGGCTGTAAATTGTTACGGGAGCAAGAAGCCTCATCTTTTCCCACAAGTGGCTGATGGGTTCAAACTGCAGATCTTTCAATTAGTAGCCCAACATGTAACCCATTACACCACCAGGGTAACCCCCCCCCCCGACACACACACACACACACATATATATATGTGTGTGTATATATATATGTATATGTGTATATGTATATGTGTATATATATATAGTCAGTACCAACCCATAGCGACCTTATGCACAGCAGAATGAAACACTAACCGATCCTGGGCCAACTTCACTATTGTTGCCATGCTTAAGCCCATTGATGCTGCCACTTGGCCAATCCATCAATCTCTCAATCTCTCAATCTCTCTCTCTCTCTCTCTCTCTCTCTCTCTCTCTCTCTCTCTATATATATATATATATATATACATACACATTATTTTTATTTCATAGTATTTTAGACAAATAAAATAACACAGGTTTTTATAATGTATAAGTAAACACTAAATTTAACAAACAGAAATTGCTAATAATAATAAAATTGAAAACTTACCTTAAAAATCTTTGTTACTACTAAATCTTTATACATATTAATTGTTGCATATAAAATAACATTGAAAGTTTACATAATCTATAAGTAAACACACCAAATTTAACAAATAGAAATTACTAATAATGAGAAAATTGTAAACTTTTTGTGATTGTAAACAACATTACCTTAAAAATCCATGTCACAAGTAAATCTTTATACATATTAATTGTTGCTTAGAGATCAATTCCTCATCTATTGCTATTTCAAGAAAATGCTCGTTTTTCTTAATTTATGTATTTTTAAGACATCTGAGGGACAGGGATGATTCACCTTTTTGATACCACAGAGAAGCAATGCTTTACTTGTTGAATGTCACTTCATTTGTGGGATTGGGAAAATGTTTCCCTACAAACTATTTTCCCAATTTGTGCTCCAGAAAGTACTGATCTCATTAAAATACCAAAATGAATAGCAGCGAAAACCCAACAACAGCAGAGACTTCAACGCTTTCATACCCAAGACACAAGAGCCTACAAAATACGGATCATAAAAAATGTGGTGCCTTGTACACTGCAAATTCCACTCACCTTAAAGCCATCAAAGGCAAAAGCATATTCATCCGAGCCCAGCTCCTGATCAGGCTGACAGCCTGGTCTGCTCCAGCCAACTCTCATGTCGCCAGCGGTGACAGCCTCAAATTCAAAATACCACCTTCCTGCCTTCACAGCGTAGGTCTTCTCAGCACGGAAAATCCGGAACCGTTCCCCTGTGCCGCTGCACACTTCGGCTCTAGCTGCTGTAGATTTTTAAAAGATGCTGGTGGTCACTGGATGCAGAACAGAGACCTATTCTCTTTAAACAAGATTGCCACTGAGTTCATTCTGACTCAGCTAGTCTGTAGGATAGACTAGAACTGCCCCACAGGGTTTCCAAGGCTACACATGTTTAGGGAAGCCAACTGACACATCTTTTTCCTGTGGAGTGGGTGGTGGGTTCTAATCACCAACCTTGCAGTTAGAAGCTCAGTGCCTTACCCACTGTGCCACTAAGCCTACAGTGATGGTGATGAAGGGCCCCATGATACCTTCTTATCTTGACTTACATCTTACAGTGTTTTCACAGTTTGATCAGCCATGGTCAGAAATAATAATGCTGGTAAACAAACTGTCACCTATGAGGGCTTCAGCTGAAGAGCCTGATGATTACATCTCAACAGCTCAGTCTGTACTTAATGTGGCCTTCATTAGCCCCTTTTTCTGGGTGTGGCATTGTGGGTTAATGTGCTAGACTGCAAAGGTGGTTTGATCCACAAGGCCGGTGGTTCAAGCTTACCAGCCGCTCCTTGGAAACCCTATAGAGAGTCACTGTGGGTTGGAATCAAGTGAAAAGCACTTAACAACAAATCTTTGTTTAGAAGGATACTAATAAACCACTAGGTGGCATGGTGGTGGAAGATGAGATGGTCTTGGGGCATGGACTGAAAGAAGAATAAAGAAAGACTTATACAGGGTTGGGTTGGAACTGCCTCAATGGCACTAGCGACAAGAATAACAACAATTAACTTGTGTATATGACACTTAGGGTGAGAGGTGAGAAAAGAAGCAGCAATGAAGAATGTAGAGAGAAAGCAACAAGAGAAAAACTGTCAACATTATCAATAATGAGAGCATTATCAATCACAGTTTTCCTCTAAGGAAGATCTAGCTGTAATTTTTTTTTTAACTTCTAAATAAATAACTTGCCCAGATAAATAACGCACCCACACATATAATTTGTAGCACAGCATGCTCACAAAAGCAGCTCCTACGGGTGATGGGTTTTGGCAGGGAGAGGGTTGTACAACTGGAAAAAAAAAAAATGTGTAACATGCATACTATTTGTATAGATATATGATACTTCTGAATTTTAAATTATTTTGGTTTTCTTTATCAGTGTGATGCAAAACTTTTTCATTGTCCCAAATTCCATTATCAACTGCTATACATAAAAAAGATCTGTTTCAGAAATTTGGGGGAAAATAAAACAAAAGAATCTAAATCCAGCATCAGGGGAAGCGTGATGCAAAGGGGAAAAATGGTCTGAAGGCAATAAGATGCAAGCGAGATGGACAGTTGCAGGTGTGAAGACACTCAGAGCCCTGTAGTTGGAGTCAGATTTCGGGGTGAGGGTGACCATGAGAAAGTAAATCCCAGGCAGTCACAGGGGATGAGGACCATGGCTCTCTGCGTTTCTATTTCAAATCATAGAGTGGGTGTGGCTAACACTAGGATTAGATATAGATAAGAAACTTAAGTGACTTGACCCCAGTGAATGGTAGAGCTTTTATAATTATAATTATAAAAGCCAGTGTTCTATCCACTTTGCCATGGTGCCTCCACCATCTAGCACAGAGCAAAACTGTTTCTCATCTTTCCTTCTTTTAAGAGTTAGGAAAGACCTTATATAAAACAAAACCTTAATCATAATTTACCATTGACTTGATAGGGTTAAAAATAGAACTATAAAGATAATCTAGATAAGCACGGGACTGCTACCTGCAAGGACGGTGGTTCAAACCCACTAGCTGCTCTTCAGAAACCCTATATAGGACTGTTGTGAGTCAGAACCAACTCAGCGGCCCTTAACAACAGATTATATCTACAAATTTAACAGTAGCTTGAAATAAAGAGAAATGAAGAGTTCCTGCCTCATTTGAGTCTGATATGTTCAATTACAGCTTTAGGAAGAAAGGGTGGCAACGACAGGGCACACAGCTGACCCAGGGGCTGCTGGTCAACTTTTCAAAAGGTGAGTTGTTGTTGTTGTTGTTGTTGTTGTCAGGTGGCATCAAGCTGGTACAGACTCATAGAGACCCTATGAACAGAATGAAACACTGCCCGGTCCTGGGCCAACCTCACAATCATTGCTATGCCTAAGACCAGTGCTGCTGCCACTGTGCCAATCCATCTTGTTGGGGGTCTTCCTCTTTTTCTCCAACCCTCAGTTTACCAACCATGATATTCTTCTCCAAGGACTGATCCCTCCTGATAATATGCCCCAAGTAAGTATCTGAATAAGCAACCCTTAGCCTTCGTATCTTGTCCCCACATACACAAACTACACACAGCTGATGATATGGTTGGCTCTAGTCAATACACAGGTCCAGCGGTGTAAGACTCATGTTCAAAACAACCCCTTACATACACAGGTATATCTATACACTCATATACCCCATACCATTCATTTAAACACCTAAGTGAAAAATAAATGCATTAATAAACAGTTAAAAAATTTAGACATGCAATCCTGTGCTGAATATGTCAAAACACCTCTGTAGAGAAAGGCTTGTGCATCAAACATTAAAATTGGTGATGGAAAGGATGGGGGTGAAAGAAATAAACACCTCTGTTTGTTGTTAAGTGCCACTGAGTTGGTTCCAACTGATAGTGACCCTATATAGGGATTCCAAGTACAGCTGATGGGTTTGAATTGCTGACCTTGTAGTCAGGGCAGTTAGCAGTCCAGTGCTTATCCTACAGCACCACATCCGGGCTCAAACATCTCTATAGTGAAAGGTAAAGATCCTTATTTTCTAATACTTAATAGCTATGGGTCGGAACCGACTCAAAGGCACTTAACAACAACAACAACAATAGCTGAGTGATTCTTTTTTTAATATAGGATAGTAAGTTAATTCTTGAGAAAAAAAATTGTAAGATATAATACTTACAAGCAATTATCTACTATTAAGATAACATTTCTAACTGCTACAGTACTATCAAAAAAAAGTCAACTGTTCATTCAGGTAGTATTTCTCTAAGAAATCACACACTGATTTATTGCTTCCTTAAATCAGTTTTGTAATCAAGCGAACCTAAGAGCCATGGATATGGCAGGAACCTGTGGAGATAGCTTTCGGTAGAGCAGTACTTGTGCAGTGATGGTTTTTTTATTGTCCTCAATATTTGCAAATAAAATCCTATATTATATTCTAGAACACATTAATAGACTCAACTCTCAATGTTTTAAGTATGAACTATTTAGGCTTTTAGAAAATGAAACCACTGGAAAAGCCCCTGGTAAGTTACAAGGTTCTGTAATGCTTTGCCGTGTTCTCAAAGAAAGCAAACACAGTTCAGTATTTGTTCTAAAAAATATTACCGATAATGTCTTCGATAATGTCTTCAAAAGCCCATTATAAATTTCTCTTAATATTAAGATATACCTCAGCTCCTTTTTATTGGTATGGGTAATAAAAACAGGGAAAGGCATACAGACAATGAGTAATGACAGTCATTGAACAACAATGCAAAATTTCTTAGTCCTGGGTGGTTTGTTTTTTTTGGGGGGGGGCTTGGGTTATTTTTTTCCCTTGCTTAGATTTTTGCTTGGATCCACTATCAACATTCATGAAAGCAACAGTCAAGAAATCCAACAATGTACTACATTAGGTAAATCTGCTGCACAAGAGCTCGTTAAAGTATTAAACAACAGAGCTATCACTTTGAGGACTACGGTGTCCCTAACCTAAGCCATGGAGACCTGGTGTTGCACTGAAGAATAAGTGCTGGACCACAAGGTTAGTTTGAGCCACAAGGTCAGTGGTTCAAACAAACCAGCTGCAACTCAGAAACCCTATACAGGGTTGCTATTGAGTCAAAATGGCACATAACAACAAGAAGGATCCAAGCCATGGTATTTTCTATACCCTCATATACATGTGGCAGTTGGACAATGAATAAGGAATACAATAGAAAAATGGATGCATTTGAATTGTGCTGTTGGAGAAGAATATTAAAAGTACCATGGACTGCTAAAAGAACAAACAAATCTATGTTGAAGGAAGCACAAGCAGACTGCTCCTTGGAAGCCAAGACTGGCAGACTCCATCTCTCATACTTAGGACATGTTATCAGGATGGATCAATCCCTGGAGAAGGCCATCATGATAAAACAAAGGGTCAGAGAAAAAGAGGAAGAGCCTCAATAAAAGGGATTGGCATAGTGGCAGCAGCAATGACCTCCTGCGTAATGACAATTGTGAGGATGGTGCAGGACCGGCCAGTGTTTCATTCAGTTGTGCCTAGGGTCACAATGAGTCAAATCTAGTCGGTGGCACCTGCCTACAACAATAAGCTGATATATCATTCTTACACTCATTAGTGATCTGCAAACTGAACTTGGAATGAACATGCTCCTCAAGGATACTCTCATGGAAAGGACTTCACAATAATTTACATTTCACATCTTTTTTTTAATCTCCATGGGTCTTCTTCCACATGGCTTTGTAGTTCATAGCCCACGATAGTCTATATTCTTTAAGAAGAATGGTCGGTCATTCTTCTGTTTCTTGGGAAAACACTAGCACTAAATGAAAATCTTGTTTATAGAAGTCTTTGAAAAAAAAAAAAAATCCAGCAATCTCTAAAAATATATTTTGCATCCTCTGTAGCATAAAGTACCTAAACACAAAGGAGGTGCTCCATGCATACCTACCTCAGTGACGAAAGGAACAAAGACTCTTCAGAATAGAGGATGCTAGAGCCCAAACAAATAACTAAAGGTTAGTACTACTATCTCATGGCATGAAGTCTCCCTCAGACACGTCAATCTTATGTTCTGTTCACGTTTAATTACTCTAACTCCATATGTGTTTGGCAGGCAATGTCTTCTCATAAAATGGTATTATAAGCAGGATTATTATATTGTTATTATGAATATGAGGAGCATTGGTAGCATAGTGGATTACGAGTTCAGCTCCTAACCATAAGGTTAGCAGTTCAAATCTACCAGCTGCTCCACAAGAGAAAGATGAGGC